ATTATATAAAAATAACTAAATATTTCGTTCCCAAAACGTTTCATTAATACAGCTGTTCCGACAATATTATGTAAAATTCAGTAAAATTTATAATGCTTTTTCGAAGAAAAAATGAAATAATTTATGTTATTTTAAGATGTGTTTTTTATTTCATTTGTATAATAAATTCAGAATTAAGAAAATTCCAATGTGTTCATGAGAGGGCGGTGGTTAATGGTGCTATAAATGATAGGCAATAAAAGTACAATAAAAATGCTTGAAGAGGGAAGCTAATTTACAACTTCAGCTGCGTGTAGGTCTAAGTGTAAGGTCTTCCCGATAAATTACTCGTCAAATGTCCCTTGCTGAAGCAAATCGAGAAATCCAAAGTTGACACCTCTCTCTCTGTCTTTCTCTCTCTCTCTCTCTCGTTGCAGTTTAATTTTTCTCTTTCTTGAAAGTATCTCTCTCTCTCTCTCTCTCTAACCGTCTCTAGAGTTGCAGTTTAGCTTTTCTCTTTCTTGAAAGTATCTCTCTCTCTCTCTCTCTCTCTCTCTCTCTCTCTCATGAACATTACATGTATCATACATGGAGGTTTTTTTTTATTGGAAAATGTTTGCATTTAGGTGAAGTGATTTTATATTACAAAATAATATCACATCAGACACGTAGAATGAAACATATGTAGCACAAAAAAAGAAGATTGATCAAACTCGAAAAATTTATTTCGTTGGAAAAGGGGGGGGGGGGGTAGGGTTCCAACTTTACGGACGAGATAACCATAGTATAACGTGGGAGATTTGGCCTTTCTGCAACAACAAGTGGTGGTTGGACCATTTTTTTAATTACAATTTTTAAAGGTTTATTAAAAATTAAAAGAATTGAACAATTTATTATCAAAGAGGTAACCCTTTATCGTTTTTACATGGGCGAAAACGAAAAGATCTTTGTCATTTAATGTGACTTCTGAAGAATTTCTTCAGTTCATAATATATTACTCCTTAATTAATCTAAATCACTTGATTTTTTGCAACTTTATGATATTTTTTTTATTCATTTATGTCATATTGATAGATATATAGACATGTAAATAATTACATTTACAGCTTTTTATCGTCATGCAGGTTCAAACGTGATGTTTGCCAAAATGACAATGAATAAATAATTGCTGATTATTCAATATAATGAATGCATTTTGAGGAGGAAAACTTGGAGGAATGTTACCTTGTGAATTTCTCGTGCTGAATTTTTATTGCAAATTTAGATCATAAATCAGAAACAATATATATATATATATATATATATATATATATATATATATATATATATATATATATATATATATATATATATATAAATTATATTGAACTTTGATGAGTTTGAAAGTGTTCCGTTTATGTAAAACATGCTTATGTGTATACATGCACCTACCGCATTTTTAACCGTCAGTCGACGGTCAAGTAAATTATTTGAGCAGTCGACAAGCAGAATCCGTACCTTATAGGTCTAAAGATTATAATGATTAACACTCTCTCCATGAAAAATACATGTACACATGTGCATCTATTTATTAAGAGAAAGCACGTTTGGTGTCTGAAATATGACTGCAATAGAATTACAATTGCCATCAATAAATGATCCCCCCTTACATTTCAATTTTATGTCATTTGCTGTTCTTTAATAGAATTTTTACAATACTTGTGTCAGTGATACATGGATTAAAATCCATGCACAGTTTAAATAAGTGTATATATGCACCACATAAGACTTATATATTGAATTTTGCTGATTACGTTATTTATATATTTATTAGTCCCCTACCGGTGAAACCGGAGGGGACTATAGGTTTTCTCTGAGTCTGTCCGTATGTCTGTCTGACTGTCTGTCCGTCTGTCTGTCTGTCTGTCAGTCTGTCCCACTGCTTTTCCGCACTTTTTTTCCCTAAATTCTTGTAGATATTGAGCTGATTTTTGGTATGTAAGTGTATATTAAAGAGTTACAGATCAAGTTTGCATTTTGTTCCCCTTCAATAATTTTTTGAAGGAATTACAGCATTTTTAATTTTTAATGGTAACCAGATTACACTTGCCGGTAGGGGACTAGTATTGCTAATGCAATACTCTCAGCGTGCTTGTTTATTCTACATTTTCTAAATCAGCACATGCAATTTTCCACAGAGCAAGCTCAGGAGAAATTTCCAGCTCAACTGTCCAATGGTTGACTTTTAGACCTTAAGTATGTTACAAAGTCAAACTTGTGTGAAATATTCTGTAGATTTCAAAATTTCACTTAAAATTCTAAATCAAAAGATGAAATCAAACTTCCAATTTTAGAAAATAAATATTACTGAAATCGATTACATCTGATGCAATTTATAAATTCCTACAATTTGTTACATATTTGTCATGAAAGGAGCTGACCGGTTAAATTTACACTTTGATTAACAAAAATCATAATTAAATAAAATAAGTTCATATGTACAAAACCATTGCTTGAATATATGTTGTGAATTTACTTTCTGATAGAGTCAGGGAAACATATTTCCATTTTACGTGATGTGAAATCTTTGTGTGATTAAAATTCAATTAATCATTTCTACAGAACGTTAAAATAAATTCTAGACATGCTATCACGTAAAATAAACATATGTTCAAATTAATTTGATTGTTGATTACTGTCATATCTAATTGTTTTAAATAACTATTTATCTGAGCTAATCAAGGTTATGAAAACATCTCTAATTAAATACGCTTTACGTGATATACTTATGTAACGAATGCACTTAAATGCAGGTATATAAACTTCCATAAATTCATTATTGATTTAAAAAATTCAATGTACTTTCCAAAAGGCGGCATTCTGTCTACAGATAATTAACGGAACCTTATTCTTCTCCATAAAAAGGTCATCTTATGTTGATAGAATATTGATTTATACCTTATCAATAGAATCCTGGATTCCAATGAAATAGAAAATATCTAGGGCTTTGAATTCAAAATTTTTGGAAGAATAAGAATCGGATTAAATTGAAGATCAATTAAAAAAAATAATGTTTTTTTTCTTTTAATCTTATAAAATGCTAAAAAAATATCTTGTATTTTCTATTCAAAATTCTAGACCAATATTTAAAATAAAATTTAATTGAAATTCAATCAAAAATCAAAAGTGTTTTTTTTTTAATTATTTGATTTCTGTAAGATTTGAATCTATTTATATTGTAGATCTTAGATTATATCATAAATAGGAAGATAGGCTTCTCCTTATACAGAATTTTATAAAACTGCCATGATACAAGTACAATTATTTCAAGATACAGGGTGTTTCATAATATATGTTACATTTTGAATCTAAAAATTGATATTTTCATCAATTTAATCCATGTATCCATTAGATCTATCAAGTTAAATTACCAAACCAACCAAAAAAATATTAAACACTGGACGAAATATCAATCATTAAAGAAAATAAGCGCTATTTCTATATTTCGTCATTTTTTAAAGTTGAATTTCACAACATCAAAGCCTGACATTACATTTTCAAAATAATCTCCGCCTATTCCAACAACAAACGAAAGTTGGATATTTTTATAAGCGTTGTCGCACATTTTTGGTGAGACACTCCCCACCAGATTTTTATGTTCTTTTTGAGCTCATTTAGTATCTGTAATCTAGGACTGTAGATCCTGTTCTTGAAAAATTCCCAGAAAAATGTCCTACGATTGAGATCTGGTGAATGCAGGAACCAAACTTTTTCTTATGGGTGTTGCATTATTGAGAATTTGTACATGTAAGTACACGCTGAAAATGTTGATATTGCCAGCATCAATTTCTGAAAATATCTATCTGAAACTTTTCGAAGGAATTTGTTAAGAGTCTCCACTTCAACAAGAATTTTTCGGTTCTTGAAGTCCATAGTCTTCCTGGATTATTGTGTCATTTCTCGCACGTTGGCCGTCCCTCTCTTTCTAAACTTTGTTAGTACTAGCATTCTTGTAAGCATCTTTTAATTAAGAAAGCGTTAATTTTCTCTTGGAATATTTCACCATCATTAACTTCTAAATGAACATTGGCTTTTGTATTAACCTTTACAATTCTGTAATATGTTGTTAAGTTATATCCATTTAGAAAAATAATCAATTCAAATTATGACATCGGCGTTCATGTCAAAATTAAACAGCATAATGACAAAATTTCCTTGACTTTTTCACATGGATAAAAAATGCAGAAATTGCTGTTTAAAATGATATATGATTTGTATTAGAAATATGATAGGTAATAAAGATATTAAGATTTTAAAATGTAATATATATTATGACCCTGTTCAAATCAGTTAGTAGTGTTAAAGACTGAGAAAATCTCAGGGTGTCCAGACCCCCTTCCCCTCCCATTACATTCGTGCATGCTTATCTTTGACAAGATTTCTTCAATATGAGCCCATTCTCGTGATCAAACTCTTCACAAGGTGCACCTTTCTGTCCTAACCATCCATCCCCTCATTCATATTTTTGGTCGTCCAGGAGCAAACATACGGCATTAATAAATGCTATGTACATGTAACAGATGAAGCCGAGGTTTTTTTTTTTTTGTTTTTTTTTTATAGATTTTTTTTACTGTTGATTGATTGTAAATGCATGGTTCATATACATCTTGCTTACCAGTTTGCTTAAGTACTTCAAATAAACCTTATCACAAGAAAAGTGATACGTTCACAGGCATTAAAGATAAGACATGTTTTATGTATATTTTGTTTATTATTGCAAGAAATAACAAAAATGGATTTCATATCAATAAACAATAATGCTAAATGACATATAAATGAATATTTTATCACAGACTAAAGTCTAGATATGAACTAGTTCATGAATATTTCTTCACATATTCAGCTTCTCACTTGAACATCCACGAAATTCAAAATGAAAGCGGAAGTTGATAATGAAAATGAAAGTAATAAATAATAATGACGCATGAGGTGATGGTGGTGTGCATGGCAGTTTATAACACTATTCTATATCACTAAGGTCTCTATCCCAATGTTTCGTCCCATTTGTAACCTGTTCGTAAAACAAATGCAGGGACATCTTTGTTTCCCCCTTCAATTTTATATTGAACATGGCCATCAGTGCTTTTCTGTTCATGAATAATGATATCACTGCCCAGGGCACTTAGAAGAGAGTCAAGCTGTGTAGAAACGTCGGCGATATCGTTGACCGAATTTGATTGCTGCGCCTGACCCCTGCTGGGATTTGCTGCCAATGAATTGGTACTGAATAACTCAAGATTGATAACATTTTCTGGTTCCCTAGTTACTGATTTCTCAACAGGTGTCTGAAATGTGCTGGCAACTTTAGGTTTCACAACGTGATTTGGAACTTTGCTTCCCGAAAGTAAAGTGGCTGCACGGTCGAGATTTGGATTGTAAGGTATATCAACGACATCAAAACGGCTCTGAGATGTGGGTTCTAGCAAAATGTCATTGCCTGTTTTTCTTTGTATCTTTTGACTTGGCTGTACAAGATTCATTTGCGACAGTTGCCCTGCATTACTGTCTTGGACGAAGTCAGAAATATGGTTTTCTGTTCGTCTTTGTGTATGTTTTGCTGAGAGACTTTGTGCTGTAGTACGAACAATATCTCCACCTAAAATTTTCACAATTCTAGGTGTTGTAGAGGGGACATTTTGTGGATACCTTAAGCCACCATTTAGACTGTTAGACACAAATGATTCAGGATACTCATCTGCAGCCTTAACATTATTTAATTCATTTGACAGTGTTTGCTTCTTTAAAGACACCTTGATAGGGTTTTGGTTAGTGGATGATGAGGTAGGCGAGATGTTTGTGGATTTAATATGCATCCTTGAATCCTCGAGTGACATTCCGATATATGTATCTTTCTGCACTCTGTTAAAATTATTTTTGTCAGCAACAGGTTCTTTTGTCGTTGGGATGGGGTTATTAACTTGTTTATTTGAAAATCCCTTTGTTCCATATATTCTGGGAGATGGTTTTCTTCCAAACATTTCAGCGAAAAGATCTCTGTAATCAATAGTTGTTGGGAAAGTAAAAGACATAGTATCGAAATTATGATCGAACGTGTATGTTTCTTTAACGTTAACTGGAATAGGTTTTACAGTTGTTGCTTTTGTAGTCCCCGGTTGTTTAGTTGGTGGTTGCGTAGTTGATGTTGTTGTGCTTGTTGTAGTAGTCACTGGTAAAGTTGTTGTACTAGATGTTGTCGTTGTCGGTAAAAATGTTGTTGTTGGAAGAAAAGTAGTTGTTGTACTTGTTGTGGTAGTTTCTAGTGACTGAGTTGAAGTGGTTGTGGGCTCATTTTGAGGGGATGGAAGTTTAGTGTAAGATTCTTTTATCTTGGGCTCATGGAATATCGGTATTAATCCAAATAATTCTGGGTATAAGTGGCGATAATCAATAGTTGTCAAGTAAAAAAAAGGATCTGTGCCCCCTGTTGTCATCTGCATTGTTGTTGTTAATGGTTGATATTTTGTATTTAATTCTTCGGTTGTAGATATTGTAGGTGTTGTTGTTTGTTGATGCAGCGCTGTCACTGCTTCAATTTTCCTTCCCTTTTCAGTCCACATCTCAGGCGCGTGACGTAATCGGAACGATTCCGTAAAAGTGTCTTTATCTTCTAAACTCAAAGGTGAGAGATATGAGGATGTTGTTGATTTATAAGCAGAAGTTTTGTCAAGTTTATTTGTTTTGTTTGGATTTAAGTGGACGGAATTCAACCCGGATCTTTTTGGAAATACATCTCTAAAATCAACATCGTCACTAATATGTGGCGATGGACTTGAAATTGTTCCAGATTTAGACAAGTAATCATCTGACATTTTCTGAGTTGTTGAGGAAAAAGGTTTTCTTTCAACTGATTCTTGTGTAGATTTGAAGATAGAAGTTAATGTTGTTGTTACCGGTGGTGTTGTTTTGGATGTTGTTGTCACTGTAGTCGGATTGATTGTTGGTATTGGTAATTGAGTTATTTTTTCCACGATTTGACCATGTGTTGTTGCTATTGAAATTGTTGATTCCATTCTCGGACTCGATGTTGGGGTTGCTTTTAATGTTCTAGTAGTCGTGTCCTCCTGGTCATCGCTGTCTGTGAGTTTAATGGGCTCGGCGACGAAAGATTGTGTTGTTAAAATAGATCCAAATTCGTTAATAGTTGATGTTGTTTCTGTGAAATGTGTTGTGACTTCTCTTGAAGGGGAATTTATTGACGATAATGTAGGGGCAGCTGTTGTTGAAGTCATTGATTGAGTAGGTGATATTTGAGAACTGGTTGATTTATTTGCTGTTGACTCGCTTGTAGTCACTGCTGCTTGTGTTGTGATATAATCTTTGATATGACTTTTTGTCGATAATATAGATTCCTTGGCTACATTTTCGGAATCCTCAAAGTTGTTTTTGTTATCATCGAGTAAAGGAGACGCAGATGTCCGATCCCTTTTTATACCAAATAAAGGAGGAGGGGTGTTTGTTTCCGGGTAATCAACTTCAGGAAGTAGTGATGTCATACTAGGTAAAAGCATATTCAGTGGCTTTTTATCATCGTCTTTGTGTGAAAAGTCTACAGATTCTCCTTTTTTATCCTCAAATTCATCTTCCATCTTTTTATCGTCCATTATCTCTTTTTCAGTGCTGGGAATATGTAATTTTCGTGTAACCGTCATCGGGGTAGTTGATTTAGAAAAGGAACGTGAATCATCGGTTGATTTAATGCTGTTTTCATTAGGAAATATGGTTGACAATTTAGGAAGATTTAAATGTGATTTATCTTCGTCTTCATAAATTATATCATTGGTGGAATTTGAATTTATCGTACCATTTATTTCCAACGTTGAATTCGAGAGGTCGTCGTTATCACCATTTTGGGTCTGTACAACAACAGCACTATTCTCATGCAAAGCCATCCTTGGAAATTCATATGACACCCCGTTTGAATTTCCGTTTGAATTATTTGTTTGTCTGGATCTTGACGTCTTTGGTATTCTTTGGATAATTACTGGCGGTGGTGACTCACCTCCAAATCCAGTGTTTACATCTGTAAATTCAATTTCTTGTCCCTGGAGCATACTTAAGTCAGGCATATCTTTGGACCGTGTACTCTGTTTTTCTGGATTCAATCTTGCTACCTGAGGTTGTTCGACAAATTGGTTTTTATTTTCTAAAGATCTTTGAGAATTTTCATTTTGGTTCCATGTGTGATGAATTTCAGGGATATTCTGCTCCTGATTTAGATTACGTTGAGAGTCCATCTGTCCTTGATTGTTGTTTTGATTGCTATTGCTCGCTTGTTGCTCTTGGAAATGTTGATGTTGCTGTGAGGAATGCAGCTGACTATTTTGGGAAAATTGTCTCCTTTGCTGTAGTTGAAGCTGTTTAAGTAAATTTCCACTTTGAAGGGCTTGAATCAATGCAGCAATTAGCAACTGAGCAGGGTTGATTGGATTAGCAGGATTAATTACTGACTTTATTTTATGCCGTTTTTGATTGACTCTATTTAGATTAGAATTCTGGTTTCGTTTATTTCCCGGAGTGTTTCCATTCAAAGGAAGTCTTCCTGATGAAGGAGGAATTGGAGGAGGTATGTTGTTTCTTACTGGTGTCATTGTTGGTGCAGGGGTGATATTTTGCACTGAGGGAACACTTGTTGGTTGTCGACGTCTATGGTTATTTACAGGAAAACTTGTAGAAAATGGCGAAACTTCGAAACGTCTGAAGTTTTCCTGAACTCTATGTTTGATTGTTGATGTAGCTGGGATGGCTGTTGGCAATGTTCGGTGTGACCACCTATTGCTAATAGGAATCTGTGTTGGTTTTGTCATTGGGGAAAATGTATGACCATTAAAAGGGTAGCTGTTCTTTATTGGATGGACTGGTAAAGATACAGGTGGACGTTGGGTTCGTTTTTGCATTGGTGGTCTAGTTGGTCTAGGACGATTTCGTCTACTGTTTTCCTGTGTTACGTGTGCCTTGGGTGGACGTTGTCTATTTCGTCTGTCTGAAGCAAATTTTATTGACGGTGACTTGCGCTGAAGAAGTTTTAAAAGTTTTGCAAGAGGATTTTCTCTCTGTTGTCTCGGAACAGGAAGAATTCGTGGTTTTTCTGTTGTAGTAATCGGAATGCTTCTTTGAAAGTTTGAACCCCTAGACCCAGGTTCTTGATTTAAGGGTGAAATTCTATTGTTTATCTTCCTTTCAGATTCCCACTGCTGAAGATGACTCAATTGAAGGGAAACTGGAGTTGTCTGTTGTTGAAGATTATTGTTGTGAATTTGATTTTGGTTTATGTTTTGGCTTCGGAATTGACCAGGATATGCGTAGTGCCTTTGGTTTCTATTATTCTGAAAATTTCTCTCCGGATTCTGGTATATTGATGGAGTAGCTGTAGTTGTATGGAATCTAATATTTGGTACTTCAGTTGTTATTTGTTGTAGTGGCATGTTGTTAACTCGGTTCATTTGAATATTATTCACTTGTTCTACTGTAGGAAGTGGGGGAGGCATGGACGGCACTTGTTCTATTCTTTGTTGGTATTGTGGAATTTGTGTAGGTTCCGGGTGAAAATTAGGTTGAGTAGATATTACAGCCTCTGTAGGATAATTGGGTTGAGTAGAAATAACAGGAGGTGGCGTAAGAACTACTTTTCTTTGAAGATGAGGTCTTCGAAAGCTTATCCTAACCTTTTCTGGTCGCCTTCGTGACATTCTATTAAAGTAATTGTTAAAAGTAGGTTTTGGAGTTGTAATGGGAATGTAATTGGGCGTTGTTTGAATGAACGGTTGTGGTGGCTCTGTAACAATCGTCGGCGGTACAGTTTGGGGAGCTGTTTGATATATCTCAGACTGCATTGATCTATGATGGCTTTTAGAAATGAAATTATGAGGATTAGTAGCCTGGGTTGTTGGAGCTGGTCTTGGTCTTGGTGGGCGTTTGAAAAGTTGTCTATTTATTCTTGGTGTTGGTGCATTGTTATTTTTATGGAATTCACTGCTAATTTGTAAATTTTGAAGTGGTGCAGAAGTCGTTGGAAAATGGATATTGTGTCGAACTTTTTGCACATTATGCTGCCAATTCCTTGGTTGTTCTGTTGAAGCAAGAAATGGAATGTTGTTACTTTTCTTATTCTGATTGAACTTTGGCACTTGCATTCTTGAGGGATTGCTATGTGAATCCTTATTTCCGACTTCATGGAGATTTCTTTGCATTGGGTCATTTGGACCGTTTCTACGTAAACCATTGCTGTTTGATGCTGGATCTACTTGCACAATAGGTCTTTGATTGTTCAATGAAATCATTCCAAGCGTTGGAAGCTGCATTTTGAGATTTCCATTATTGTTATTATTTGCTGGCTTAATTTTACTTATCATGCCTAATGGTGGTAGATCCAACTGAGTAGGTTGATTTGTAGCGGGTATTAGAATATTTTTCTCATGCAAAAGTTGATTTGTATTTGGTTCATGATTATGATGGCGTCGGACTGGATTTTGATTTCCATTCTGCAATGCTTGTAATCTTTGACGAGGAAGCTCAGGATTAGAAACACGAGCGTTTGGGTTATTATTTTGCCATACTCCCTCATTTCTGCTCTGATGGATAGTTTGACGCATGTGATTATTATTTGGAGAAGTTTGAATCTCATTTAAATTTGTTGATTGCTTGTTTTGGTTATTTGTATTTTGATTAAATATTTTTGCATTTTCATTTGGAAAGAAAGACTTCGGAATTGAGCCGGTAAATTCTTGTTGAGACTGATGCACCCGTTCGGGTAGATTATTCTGAGAGTGTGCTACTTGAATATTACCAAGAGGCTGTCTGACATATTCTTGAGTGTTTTCTTGTCCAATGTTTTGCTTTTCTGATCTATGTTGCTGTTGTTGGTTTTGTTGTTGCTGCCAATGTATGAGTCCAGATTTTTCGTTCATGGTATTAAAGCGAGAATTTCCTGTGATCTGCTGAGGAGAAAGAGGACCAGGATTCTGTAAATGTACGGATTGTGGTGTAGTTGTTTGGAGTTGCTGCTGTGGTTGTTCAGGAGGTTGTCTCTGGCCATTATGTTGTGAATCAACATTGGAATGAATATTGGCTGTTTTTGCAAAAACTATCATACTTTGCCCATGACTACCATTTGGTTTCTTTGTTGTTGTTACTGGAATTTCAGTTACGACATCGTTACTCATAACTAAAATCGATGGTCCAGACTTAACATCTGCTGTAGGAATAGCTTCTTTATTTAACATGTTTGTTGCGGCGATCTGTCTTGTCTTTTGTCTAAAAGCAGCTTCCTTTTTCAGCTGATCTCTGTATTTCATCATTTCACGTATCATTTTCTCCATTTGGTTAATTTTGGAAGCGTGGTTAGAACCACCTGCCTGAACATTAGGATTCTGTTGTGTCCTAGATCTCTGTATTGCTTGTATTTGTTGTATAAGTTGTTGTCTTCGTTGTTGTTGCTGTTGTTGTCTTTGTCTTTGCTGCTGAATATGTCTCAGCATAACTTGCAATCTTTGAAACTCGTGCATTTGCTTTTGGACGTTGTTTGGATCAGACCTTACATTCTGAACAGAATTTGACGGGGTATTTTGTGCTGTTTGGATCATCTGCGGGTGGTGAATCTGTGGGTTTGCGGCGTCTGCCTGTTGGAGTTGCTGAAAATGTCTGTTGATTTGTGGATGTGATTGGGCATTCATTCTTGGAAACATTGCTTGGACCGGGCTTTGCGGAATCCTAGGCGGGTTATTTGGTAATTGTACGATAGGTGATGTGTTGAGTACTCTATTACGTGCAATAATGTGTTGTGGATTGAAGTTTTGAAATCTGTTATTCAGAATTTGCTGTGGGAATCGGCGTCCGGCATTAAACTGCTGTCTCTGAAACAATCCAACATAATTTTGTTTAATATGATGTAGTTTTATAATTTTTTTAAGGGTTTAAGATACCAAATCAATGTATTAACTCTTAGACGTATTTAATAAATTCTTTCCTTCATTATCATTACAAAAATGATCATGAAAAGAGGGATATAAGAAATTTTGCAATTTTGATCTGTGGCAATTCATTATTCCTTGGAGGTGTGATATCAATTGTCAATCAAATTGATTCAACAGGTTCGTAATGAATAATCAATTTCGAAATTTACCAAAACGTGTAAATTTTGATTTAACGTGCTACACGGGGCATGACTCATAATTATTTGTTTGATTGCATGTCGCTTTAGATTGACATGTCAAAAAGTGAAATACGACCTTTTCAATGAATTCCACAACAATGTGACGATCAATCACTTTACTCACTTACACTGTGTCAGGTGAAAAGACTCTTGCTAACTGACATGTATTTTTTAATTTTACTCAGATCTAGTCATATTCAAGGTTTCATAATGAAAAGGAAAGATATTTCAATGCATGCAGTCCTTTCAAACCTCCAGTGGAGGGAAAAGATTCCTTGAAGTAAAAATTTTCAGAATATTATTGCAATGAGTTAAACGTATCAATTCAAAAGCGCTATTTGTAGTTTTTTATTTATTGATAAAAGAACATAAAAATGATACATAAATAATTTTTTAATCATCATAAATGCATTAATGCTTACCAGTGAATGTCAGAGTGAAAAATATTTCCTTGTCTTGAGATATTATTTGCATATTTAAGTTTTAGTTCTTAACGCATGTCAAGTATTTAAAGAGAAAAACGTAACCGAATGATAATTGATTATAATAATTTTAATACGGATACCAATATAGTTCAGACCACTAGAAAAAAAAAAGAGTTAGGGTGGTAGAATCCGTCATTTTTTCTGATCAGAGTCCTTTGTCGTACTTTTGTAAAGATTTTTCTTTTGGCCGGATGTCCCCTCCCCTCGCTACTTTTGTTTCAGAAAAGTTAACTCAACTTTTTTTCTTTTCATTTTTTCTATCTGCTCCCCTTTGAAATCTGATGCTCAATGCCTGCTGTGAAAGCTAATTAATGTAAAATTCAGACTGCAAGTATTTTAAACTTAAAACTTTTTAAAGTTTAAACTCTCCAAAATGAAAAAGCTATTTTTTGAACAAATAAGGATAAGAAATAAAAATTGGAAAATAGAAATAATACATCTGTATTGTGCCTTAGATGTAGGGTATATTCAAACCATCCAGTACTATTGCATGCATGCACACCACGATGTGGTTGTCGATTTCATTAGATTAGGGCATACGATTTTAAATTGAGATTAAAGGAAACTATTACATGCCATTAAATTCTACAAATGTGATAATAGTTTGCGTTAATGATTGTCTAGGTTTTAATGTTAAACCCAGAGAAAAAAAAATGGTAAGATTATATATCTGTAATAATGTGTGTATTGTGATTAGAAATTCCATTGTTTCTGCAAAAGTTAGAAATGACAAAAAATGTTTTGCTTACGCCATCATTTACTGAAGTACCCTTAACAAAAAAATTACATGAACAGATTAGAAAGCAAATTTACTCACCAACATTTGCAAATTAAACTGTCCTTGGGTTGCAACCAGTAGGTAACGAAGCAACAGCAAAAACAATATGGCGGGTACATGTATCCGCCATTCCATCATGGCTAGTCTACTGTTCCACTTCTAACGCCGATACAGCGAGTTGGAACCTTCAGACCTTACAAATGATATGAAAACAAATTAGAATATAATTGGCTTTTTATATGAAATCGTCATCATTAAAAAGGAATGCCTAATTATTAAGCCTGTCAATATTATAACTATATGCAAATTAACACCTTGTCATTCTGATTTGAGACATTGACATAGGAAAAAGAGCGAAACCAGCCTACGAAGTGGAAATTGTTTGAAGAGTGCTTTGATTGAATGCTGGAAGTTTGGAGCACATGATTGATACTCTTATCAAAGAAAATGTTTTTATGATATATTTAATAATTAATATGTTTTTCCCCATTTTTTCCAAAAGTGGCGGGAAAAAGTTAACAACTTTCTAATTTCTGTAAGCATAGTGATAAGTAATTTTTTATCATTTTTTTTTCTAATCCAATAGACGTTTTCCCAGATATGCATGTAATCTAATTTAATTTCTTATTAAAAAAATCCAATTCTGATTTTTAATTATGAAATATACTTAGATGATCTGACCATCTGATACAAAATTAACTTTTGCAAAATATAATATGTGTAATAATAAGATAAAGGAAGCCACTATGCATATTTTTTTTTATATTTTTTTTTTTGCATTTTTTTTTTTTTTTTGCTTTTGAGAGTTGTTCATCTCGTCTTTTCAAGTCCCTCTTTCGAAAAAAATTCTATATATTTTCAAATTGAGATCTCATACAATTGTATCGGGATATGCTTTTTTCATCGCTATGACGAGATTTTTTATAGTGTGTTTTCGTGTTACGTTATCTTATGGATATCTGATGGTTACCATCAATGCATATTTATATCGATGACCTTTAACATCAGTGTCAAAATACTTTATGTTGTGGCAAGAATACGACCTTTTTAGCTTGTATCAAAAGCTTATGATATATGATTTGCTGGTGCATTATCATAAGCGCCATCATAATGTGCCATAGAGTTAAGCAGAGGTAATATTCCATGTATTTACTAGAAGAGGAATTTTTGTTTAGTTTCTGACTTATTGAACATTCCAAGTATATTTCATTGAATTTCTTTTTTCTTTCTTAGCTTTTGAAAGCTTCCAGTCTAAGAACTGATCTGATTAAAACATCAGTCAGTGTTTTTTTTCCCTCATATTTAGCCGTCATATCTTTTTGTTTTTGTATCATTCAGTATCTCTATGTAACTACTTTACCATAAGTGAAAATACAAAAAAAAAATATCCAAAGCATATAAAATCACTAATTTTTCAAAACATATTTAGGTAAAATAGGAATAGCTGGGTTAGCCAGTATCCACTAGTCAAAATATATATCTCATCTGAGAGTATCAAATAAAAGACCCTATGTGGTGTAATCTTTTTATGTAAAAAAAAATAATCTTTTGAAATAGAAGGAGGTATCGCATGATTTTTTTTTGATTGTCAATTTCAGGAAAAAGAAGATGACCTTGACCAGACCTCGCTCCTTAAATGAAACGGTCAATTTTAATCTACTTGATTCACCCCTTGGTGATATGTCTTCCTGGATCAGTACAAATTTTATTGATTTTTGAGTACAATAAATGTGAGAAGAATCCCTCTTTAAAGGAAGACATGACTTTTCTAGCTTTTTACATTTAGAAATACAACCAAACCTCGTTATCCTCGATCTCAATGAGTCCGTTATAAGACCGAGGATTCGGGATATCCAGGGTAAAATATTTAAAGAGTAAGTGGTTAGGATCCGAAATTACTTCAACATATCCATGGTATTCGAGATATCAGTGTTCGAGATACCAAAGCTTAACTGTATCTTATTTGTAACTGAATTATTGTTTTACATGACTGTATATATCAATAACTTGGCATTTTTTAGATAAAATACTTGTTGAATTGGAATGTTTATGAATGCTTGAATAAAAGAGATTAAAAACAACTAAGGCTTAATAATTTCTAGTGCGTGGTAACTTGTCTCACAATTAAAATTTTCTTCGGAGTCATTTCCTTCTAAAGAAAAGCTTAAATTGACCATTTGTGCCTTTCATGAAAGCCCTCTTTTCACAGCGATGGCAATAGTTGACGAATGCTGAGCTTTGAAAGATTGGCCGGATCTTTCAAGGATATATTATCCGTCTCCAAGCCGCGGTCCTAAACTCTCAGAAGACTTCCAGCTTTTGAATTTTAAGGTTTTAATACGTTTTTGAAGTCAGTTTTAATTTATCATTAGAATATTTCCTAGTAAAAGTAATAATAGTATTTTGTACTTAAAAGGATGTTTTTCTTTTGAGTTTGAAGCCCAACTTTTATATATCAACATGTGGGTTAGATGACATGTATACTGATATTAAAATTAATGAATTTTAATTACAAAGAAAAAAAAATATACATGTAATGTATGCTTGTGAGCTGCACGGTTATATTTCTCTCTTTCCATAATTTAATTGTTTTCTGCTTCTGCATATGTCCCAGGCAGCCATGGTATTCAAAATCTTGTTTAGAAAAAAGAAACAAAGAAACATCACAAAGAAATTAAGTATTATGCCAAAATTCATGCAAAATCAAATGTAATGTAGCTTTAAACAAGTTAAGGCATGAATCATGAATTGAACTAGAGCTCGAGAAGATACGAACTTGGTTTGAACTAGATTGATTGTGAATTATAACAACTGTACGCCATGCAATTCGACAGATGTCTTTTGAACAGGTTAATAGTTCAAATTGATGTATGTTAATAAGGCATATATTAGAATTAGTATATATAAAAAAGAAAAAAAAAAAAAACAAAAAAAAAAAAACAGAAATCATAAAAAAAAATTACCTGATATTTAAATTAGATGGGATTCGCATATTAATGTTTTTTTGTGTATTTTTTCCCCAAAAAATTGAAAATATCAATAAACATTGATATTATTGTAATCAGAATTGCAAGTTCAAGCACTGTAATCTTTTTAAAATGTCTACCTATTTTATTTTAATGCACTTACAATAAAAGCAAAGCATTTAATTTTAAGACTATTATCTTTATATAGATTTTAACAGTAAAAGATCTTAACATCTTAAGTTTATCAATTTGTAGAATTTTCATTTGTGTTATTTTTATATTTACGAGGCTC